TAGTAGTGGCAAATGAGACCAACTTAATTGTTATTTGGGTCTCTTATTGATGACTCTTTCATCTCCCTGAGAATCTGCAACCCTTCTTTAAATGCTCCTGCTCTCTGTTTGGCATCCTCCCGGTATCCATTGAATGCGTCTAAGAACAGCATGTCCTGTTGGAGTTTGCGCTCAGCAATAGCAAGGGCCCTCTACTTCAAAGCTAAGGGATTGGCTTTGGGTGGACCTGTAACATCTCCGCCCATTACTTTCTTCAATCTGAGTTGTCTGTTGTCTGTCGGCGCTCTCTTCCTGCCTGCTTTTAAATTTTCAACACATTGAGATGCTCTGGTAATATTTGCTTTAGCACCAGCAGAAATAGTGACTTTGGCTTTGGTTGTCACACTATCCTTCTCAAGTTCATAGACCATGTCAAAAAGGGGCCATTTACATCCCGCTCCCCCAGTATCATTAATTTTATCACTCTCTTCATTAAACCTTAAAATTATTCCTTTATATCTGGTGTGGGCCTTCTCCTGATCAATGAAATAACCCCTGTCACCAAGCTTCATAGCAACATGTGCAAACAATTCAGTGTTTTTCAGAAGAGGTCTGTTGACAAAAAACTCCTTAGCTTCGTGAACCTCTTCAAGGAGAGCCTTGTCAGACTCCAATGTCCCCCAAACTAGATAAAGATAAAGGAAGAAATTAAGAATGGTAAACAACATCAAAAAACCAAAGGCAAATTGGTAGATAAGCAAATGCAAACCTTTTCCCAATTGTTCCTCATTCTCGAGAATGTTGGTTGCAGCAGCAGTTTCTTCCTCATTCTCGAGAATGTTGGTTGCAGCAGCAGTTTCTTCCGAATAGATATCACAAGGGAATTCTTTGCCACCATTGCTCCCCCCCACAGCACCTTCATCAGAGAGTGTATCAGCAGAGTCTGCACATGATAAATATGTATTAGAAAGAGGTTCAGAATAGGTTGATGGACATCTCAGTAACATATGATTCAATCAGACCTACCATTAATTTTGTTATTGAATTTGGACACAGATTTAAAACCTATTGGCCACTTGTTGGATGCCAAATGATGCATAGCCTCAAAGTAAGGCCATTTGTTCTTCTCAGCATCACTCTGCTTTTTATAAAAGCAGTACTGGGCATCCAACCCCCTCTTCTTCTTTTCTAGCTTTTCAGGTGCGAAAAAAAAAATCCCTCTGCACGCATATCCTGAGCTATTTTTACGTACGCTGGCTTCTTCTTCTTCCATAACTCTATGTTTAGGCCAATATTATTCAAAAACGAATGGCATGCGAGTTATTGTACCATACTTTTACAGTCCTTAGACTACAAATTGACCTTTAAACCGAAATATTAATTTAGAAGTTCTCACTTTTGCATGTCTTCATTTTTTATGGTGATCATCAATTTGGCTGTGCAGTTCACACCCTTTTTGTGATGACTTTTACCCTTAATTATGTTTGGATGAGTGTTATGATGACACCTGAACTGTTTCTGTTAGGACCAAACATAGGCGCTACACTATAATAATATTTTTTAAGGGAAAATAATGTAACATTTTAATTAGTGAACAACTTAAATACCTTGAAGAGTACTCTTTGGCCAGCCATCTTGGGGAATGTCTTTGAAACACGGAAATCAGAAAAGGAACTAGACTGATAGTGTGTAAGCCACTCCAGAGCTTTCTCAGAGTTGTCAATGGGTAGTCGGATTATAGCTGTGAGTGATTGGTCTCCTAATTTGTAGGGCTGCACAGCAGTGATGGTGTGTTGGTACTCAACAGGGAGAAAACTCTGTCAGGACAAAAGATTTATATCAACACACTGAACATAGGTTCAAATTATTAATGAATAGGGGGAAAAAGTACAACCTGAAGGTATTGTGAGGTTTGCTCATCAATACCAGCAACATCCCATTCAGCATTTAAATTATTATTGAACACTTCCCTAGCAGGTGCATTTTTTTTTCTGGGGTTTTGCTGATAGCTTAGAAAATTGCCGTCCCACTGACTTGAGGTTGAAAATCGTCACTTAAGTCAGAATCAATTCTTGAGTTCCAGAACAAAAGCACATCCAAATGTTACCAGTAACAGCTGCGAAGCAAAGCATTTTAAAAACGAGTTGGATAAAATCATACAAATTCAACTGACCATATCCTCTTTCTCTTGTTTTTAGCCCGCCCTTCTGCTTTTAAAAAAGCATTAAAGCGGGCTTATGCAACCGCTCTCGTGTCCGTCCGTCCGTCCGTCCGTCGTCCGTGTAAGAGGAAGGAGATGAGCTAGAGGTCTAAAAATTTCAGGGTATCTTAGGGGTCACTCCTTGACAACGAAACGCCTGGTGCAAATCCTGGCAACCACCCCTAAGGGGGTGAAAGGAGGTAACAAAGAAGTAGGGGTTGGTCAAAAAGGAGGAAAAAAAATGTTTTTATGGTCTTCTTAGGGGTAACTCGTAAAAGTAGAGTCCTCCGGACGAAAATTTTGTCCGGTTGACTCTATCTTGCACCGTTTGGGTGCTAGGGTGCATTTTTCGACGAAAATACGGCGAAAATGACCACGCTGCACATAAAGACGTACAAGGAGGCGTCCGATCGAAAAATGTCTGAGGTAGTACTCCCCCCCCCCAAAACAACACGTTCTGAAACGGGTCCTAGTCTCGGATTTGCCGTATCTTTCACTGTGTCGGCCCTAGAGGAAGATATATTAAAAACAATGGGAAAAAGTCAAGTTTTAAGACTGTTTGACAAACAATACAATCTAAAAACTACGCTTGTTCATTTTTTTGTATTTTTCTTTATCAAAGCAGAAGGGTGGGGTGCACAGTGGTCGGAAATCGCGTGGTCGGAAAAGCGGCAAAAACTCGATACGCGCTCCGTAGGCGGGGAGCAGTGCCGGGCGGTCAGCGCTCCTCCGACCCGATCAGTATTAATCGCTTGATATCGTGAAATCTACCATCAAACCATAACAATCCATATACCAACGGGTAGGGAATTTATCCTACTTCTATTAGCCTAACATACGTCGCTTTACATATACGATTCTACCTTTGGCATGCATTCAAACCCAACTATGTGGTCGCGCAGCATCACCCAAGAAAAACTCACATTTTTTCCGTTTGCGCAAGTTTGCGCAAAATGTCTTTGTTGATATTGATAGAAGAAGCTTCCAGGATTGTCGTGCAATCTCCTGTTTCCCCAACAAACCCCAACATTTTTTTAAAAAGTCAATTTTCATTTCACACTTGACGGCTGGTCGGCGAGATTTCCTGAGTATATATAAATGAATGTTAAATGCGTAATTCTCATTCTAATAAGTCGTGCCTCATATGAGAGAGAAGGTGGAAGTACGCCCTTTCTGGTGGCACACAACTTTTCCAGTTCGTTTGCAACGATATACTGTTTAGAAGAGGTCAAAGTAAGCGTAAAAGTTCGTCCGCCCGGTGCCGACTAACCTCTCAGCCGCACCGCAACTTTTGCATCGAGTTTTGAAATAACTGCGACAGTCTAGGACGTTTTATTTGTTTGAATATTAAAGTCTGATGCTTTATTTATGTAAACCAAACAGTTTAGATACCTGACGAGTATTTTCAAAACGAACACTTATTGCCGCTTTTCGGCGATTCCCGACCACTGTGGGGTGTAGTCACGGTGTTGCCACGTTACAGTCTTTTTTCATGTGAAAGGAGCAAATCTCTAGGGCCGCAGGCCCCCCACAGGACGCTTTATTTTTACTCAAATATGCAAAGTGATTTACCGGTCACATTATTTATTTGATGATGCACTTCAGTAAATCGCGAGACTGAAATGGTCGGGCCGTAGGCCCGACCATCGCCACCGGCAGGCCAAGCAGGCCCGGCCCCTGCCGAACGGAGTTGCCGGCGCAGCGAAGTGGAGCTGGCAACTCCGTTTGGCGGAAGGGCGGGCCTGCTTGTTCAAGCTGCCTCTTATTATGTGGAGCAGCAATGGAGTTTAATTTGGATTGATTGAACTTCCTCAATAGCAGATACCTGCCAGCGACTCTTGATAGGTGTTGTTCGAACTGGAGGGATTTGCGAGCTTGAGTTCTAGAACAAAAGCATCAAAAACATGTGAAAATTATTACCCGTCACAGCTGCCAAGCATTCAAAAGAGTTGAATGAAATTATGATAATGTCAACAGACCAGATTCTTTACCTCTTGGTTATCAAGCTGCTTCTTGAACGGAGCAGCAATAGAATTGTTGATGCATTCAACTTTAGCTAACTTAACCAAAGACAAAGATTTTTTATTTTTGGATGGTTGAGGCTGAGAGTTGTCATCAAAATGGAGAGCCTTAGCCACATCGATTGGCTTTTTCGTGGCTGCCACAATAGCAGAGACTTCCTGCGTGCTCCTAATTATTGGTGACTTAGCAGGTGGAGTGCAGTTCTGAATAGCTTTTACTTTTGTCAGTAAGCAGGTCACGAGCCATGCCTTGTAGACCATTAGGCTCCACTACAAAATAAAAGTAAAGGTTAATTGAAAGTTAGGTACATGGATATACGTAGGAGTACGTGCAGCAGCCCGTAGTGGCTGAGCTTTAGTCGTTATTGTGCTAAAATTCTCAAATGAAACGGTTAAAGGAATATAGTAATAGTAATGTACAGATGGAAGGCCAGGGAAGAACAGGAAAAGGGAGAGG